GTATTGTTGTGAATTTTTAGGAATTGAATCATTCTTAGGTCAAGGGCTTATGATTTCAAGAATGGTAGTAGGTAGAGGATTTAGACTTGGTGAGGGTTTTGATTCAGCAATACTTGAAAGAAGTTTTTGGAACCGTTTGAGACATGCAGTTGACAAAACTTTGGTTACACAAAATGATTGGTCATCAAAGATCACATGACAAGAGATATACATATGCCTTGATAGTGGATGATAGCATTTATATCCTTCATATACTTCACTATAACTAAGAAACACACAAGGTAGAGATCTTGGATCCAACTTTGTTTTGGCATAATGTCGGAGGTATGGAAAACATTTGCAGCCAAAAATTCTAAGATAAGAATAGTCAGGTTACTTTCCAAGCAACATTTGATAAGAACTCTTACATTATAGAACCTACAAAGGTTTTCTATTGATCAGCCACACAACTATTTCAAATGCTTCATTCCAAAACGGATTAGGAATACTGCCATTAAACATCATTGTAAGACTCAATTTAGTAATATTTCTATGCTTTCTTTCTACCATACCATTCGGTTCAGATGTATCTATGCAAGACATTTGATGCTTAATTCCATGATTAAATAAGAAGGCATTGAATTTTGTGGCTTTAAACTCTCCTCTACCATCTAAATGGAAAATTTTGATAGCCTTGTCAAACTAATTCTATATATATTTATGAAACTTAATAAAACATTGCAGAAAGTCAAATGCTTTAATGGAAAATACCAAGTAAATCTTGTGCATTCATTTATAAAAATAACATAATATTGAAAAGCTTGATAAGAAAAAATAGTTGCTTTGCCCCATAAATTAAAATGAATAATAGAAATTGGCTTTTTGTAGAAATCATCATTAATTAGAAAATAAAGTTTACATGATTTTTCCATTTGACAACTATTGCATGTATGTGTACTATTGCAATTATTCATATTAGAAACAAGATTTTGTTTCTTTAAAGTTTTAATTACAGGCATTTGAGGATGCCCTAATCATGCATGCCATGTTATATCTGAAGCAACATGGAATCTATTGAGAAGAAAGTTGTTGGATTTTTGAGTTGCAATATGTACAATCCACCATATCTAGATCCTATTGCTATGACTTGCTTTGTCTCCTTGTCCTTTTATCACAAAATCGTTAAATGAGAATTTAAAATATATGGATAATCAGTAGTTTGTTGGCTAACAAAAAGTAAATTTTTCTTTATCTTTATCACAAACAAAACATTATTTAATTTTACATTAGAAGGACTAGTATTAATAGATACAAAACCAATATGTGAGATATCTAAAGCATGTCCATTTACTACCATTATTTTGTCTGGTCCTCTATATGCAATAACATTATCTAGCTCATTAGGACGGACAATTATGTGGGAGGATGTGCCAATGTTTAGGTGCTAAGCTTCATCTTAAAAATCTAAAATAGTGAATGCTGCCAACGCATGTAAAGCTTGGGAAGACATGTCAGCTTAGTAAAATTGATTAAATCTCGGCCAATAATTCAATACAATGTGTCTTGGGTTGTGACAAATTTGGCAAACTACTTAACTATTTTGATTCTTTTTAAAGAAAAACTTGTTATCAGATGATATAATAGGCTTTGCACCTAAGATGCCATCTTTTATACCACTATGATTTGTCTGAGGAAAACCTCAACCTTGTGATGAAAGGCAAATTGTTTGAACTTGTTATTATAGTTCCTTTGGCCCCCTCTTGCTCGATAATGAAAGTGTTGACTGAAAAAAGCCATGTTTTAGTTCAATGAACTAAAACTTTCGGAATTATTGCTTACTTTCATTGTTTCATGTCCTTGTATTAAAGGTACAAGTTCTCCAAATGATGGAATTAGGACTTTCATCATCGTAGTAACAAAAGATTCATATCTAGAATCAAAACTGTTAGCTTTAAAATTATTATAGTTTTGATTATGATACAATGATCAAATTTGCTTAAACATTATTTGAGTGATCCTTGACAGGTTCTTGAAATAATTTAACAACTATACATTTATTCTTACATAGTTACAAGCTTGACTTTTGAAGTTATTAAACTATATCTATAAGCTTGTATGACTTAGGAGTATGAGTGTTTATGATTCTCATTCATTAAAATCTAATTTAAATATTAAAGGAAAATATATATGCACTAATAAGAGGGAGTTTTAAATATTTTTTTAATGATGATAAAAAAAGGGAGAAGGAAGACTTAGTTAAATAGAGCTTGATAAGTCTTTATGTTTAATTTATGTGTGATGTTTAGTTATGGTTTTGTAGAATATTATGTGCTAATTATTATGGATACTCAATATATCTTGCTTAGCTATTATGGATATTATAAGTATTTTATTGTAAATCTTTAAAGAAAACTAAATGCATTAACTAAGGAGGAGCAATCCTCATTATGCCTAAAGATTTCAAGCATTCACCTTAAACATAGACATTGAACTTTTAATCTAAGATTGTTTGTAATCATTAAAAATAAGAAAGAGAGAATGTTGACTCCATGTGTTTTTTATGATAACAAAACATTCACCTTCATTGGTGTTTAAGTATATTATTTAAGTGTGTTGGAGAAAATTTAAATTCATTAATATATTTGATTTTTAAAAGTAAGTCAAGATACTTGTTGAGTTATAAGATGGGTTAATTGGTTAAATAAGCAAAGAAGAAAAAGTTTTAACGAAAACAAGTTAGTCTTAATCGATTAACACATATCCTGTATCAATTAAATCAATTCTGAGTGCTACATTAGGACAAACAGAAAGGTCTTAACTAGTTAACACAAGGTTTAATCAATTAAGTAGTTGCTGAATGCAAAATAAAAGCCTTTTAATCAGTTAAAGAAAAAGAGTTAACTGGTTAAAAGTCCAAGTTAAAGTGTCAAGAAACTATAAAATTCAAATTCAAAATATTGATGACCGTCTAAGGCGCCAAACCAAGAGATTTAAAGTTGAAAAATTCTTAATTGGTTAGAGTCCATTTTAGTCAATTAAGGATGAATGGAGAGAAGCTTCAATTAGTGAAATAAAGCATTAATCGGTTGAAAGGAGGTTAGCTAAAAATAATGCTTGAAGGTATTTGAAAATAAAAAGTTATTAATCAGTTAAAGTTGCCATTAATAGGTTAACACAAAAAAATAGTGTGTAATTCAGAGAAGTCTTAATTGGTTAAAGCCTGCCTTTAATCGGTTAATAAAGCACTGTTTACATATTTGAATTTAAACACAAAAGGACAAAATAACGATAAAAAATGACTAGTTTCTATCTTCAACGGCCAAAAGTGATTATTCAAGTATTAAAAGCCTCTTCAACAATCAAAACTCATAGAAAAAAGCTATCCAAAGTGATTTTGAGTTTAAAAGACTAAAGACATTCTCTTTACACTTTTATTTCACTCTTATCTTTTGTAAAAGTGTTGAACTTAACTTTGTACATCTTAGATCAACTAGGTGATCAATTGTATTTCATTTTTTCTTCATTTCTTGATTGATTAGAGTGTGCAAGGTACTTTAAAAGGCTTACTAAGCTTAAGAAAGTTTAAGGATTGTTGTAAGAGTTTAAAACTTAAGTTAAAAGCTCACCTTATAAAAACTTGATAAAAGCTGTTAATTTTATTGATTTTAATGAAGTTAGATTGAAAATCTTTAATTAAGAAGATCAAGATAATACATGTAAGTTAAGTGAACCGAACCACTATAATTATTGTATTTTATCCACTTCTCTTAACCTTCCTTTTACTTGGTGTCTTTCAACCTTAACGAGTTTTAAACTTTTCATTTCAAAATTGTTTAATAGTTTTTCAAATTTAAGAGTTCCCTTTAAAATATTTTAGTATTATTCACCTTCCCTCTATCATTTTTTTTGAGACCAACAAAGGCCTCTAAGTAATTGAAAGGTTTTGATTTGCTCACTTACAGGTTTGCCAATGGCAGCAAGGTCATCGGAAATGCTCTTGAATTTCCTAATATATTCAGATATTGATAAGTTATCCTTTTGATGAGTCTGAAGAGTTTGTAAAAGATAAAACTTTCTCTCAAATGTATCATAATATGGAAGCAACATATATATGACATTAAATAAATTTGATCGAATGGAATAGAAAAAAAAACTTGTTACGTGTCATCACAAAATGTAGTGATAATAAAAATGAAAATACAAATTTCATACAGAATATTTTAAAAAAAATAAAAATACTAGTATGTTATAGAAAAGGCCATGTAAAGTGACATAATTTTTTTCATATACACTGTACATTGATTGTTAAGAAAATTGATGAAAGATAACAAGTATTTTTATCTTCCATAGATGATATGCGAGTAGTTTAGGAATGTTAGTCTCTTTCAGCACATGATGACTGATATCTACGTACTTGTTCAGCAAATAAAATTTGAGCATTGGGCATTCAAATTACTTGAGCTCAATGGTGTATAGCCAATCTCTGTTCTGTTTGTCCAAAATCAGTTTTTTGTGTTTTTGCAGTACAAATTCAACGCGCCCAAAAGGCGCGTTACGGCATGCGCATTGTCTTTCTTCTTCTGCTGCCCCCCATTTCCATTCATTTCCCGTGGAAATGCGGACCAAACAGCTCGTAGACCAAAGTATCATGTAGTTAATCTTCATACTCACCCAGACTGAAATTGGATAGCATAAATTTAAATAAGATGTGGATTCCTCCAGAGATTGACCTTTTCAATTTCATTCTATGGTAGGATATATTCTGAATTACGCTTCTAGGGGCGTGGACAAGGTCCTGATGTATGTATATCAAGGTATTGATAAGAATACTGAATCAGATTCTTTAACCACCTCCTCGTTATTATATGAGGATGCTATTGATTTGCAACTCCTTGACAGACCACTCTTTAGGGCATCATATTTTGGCAAGATCATCAAGAATTGATGACAAAAGGACTTGATGGTATCTTAATCTTAGACAATAAGACAGCGACTTTAGATTGCTAATTGACGAGCTTGAATGCTTAAATAATTACCGCCCAACCATTTTACAATGGATTTACAGATTTGGACGGCAGGTGGGGAATTGGAAACAGAGAAATGCCTGACGTTTACAGAGCAAACAGAAAAAAATTGCTCACATCATTGTGGACCTTGTGCATCTTGGAAATATTATGACAACAGATCGACTTATAGGGAGATGAGGGCCTAATTTTTGGAGAGAGGGTTTCCAATTCCATTGCGCTTGGTAGGGAATGAAACAAACAAAACGCTGCCAATGGCTCCAATGCTGGCGGGCAATACCGTTAGCAGCTCTTTGGTCTCCTCTGATGGCGTTGGATAAAAGCACTTGACAACATTTTGATCAAACAGAGCAAGCGATGCAAAAATCATTATGGACACCAAGGCATGGAAAAAATCAATGAACTTGAGCCTATACTTGTCTGCCTCCTCCGCTGAAAGTTTCACAGGACCATCCATCACCCATAACCCTTTGAATGTAGCCACCCCGTACCGAATCTTGCCTCTTTCATCTCTGAAACTATCCGTGAAAGAAAGAAAGAAACAAAAGACGGCGCAAAACGCCACAAGGCCTAGCGTCAAGTATTGGCTCACCTCGGTTTTGCATTGGCCTTGGTTTGTTAAAGCTGGGGACAGTAGCTGGAACGTGAGAGCTGAACCTGTAGGGAGAAGCTTGGACAAGACGGCTGTTCCTTTGAAGGTTTTCCTCATTACTTTTTGTTTTCTGGTTTTTGGTCGCTTCTGGGGTGCTGATGCTGATGTTGCATTTTCCGGAATGGTTGGCTGCTCTTCTTGGACCCTCTCTCCTGCTTCCTCATTTTCCAGAAGGGGTTGCTCGTTTTCTACTTTGATGTCCATTGACATGAAACTTGTAGCTATGGTTTCCACGATGTATTTTGCAGAGATATGTTCCATGAGATTGGCCCGTTACTAGTTGTGGGAAGACATAAGTCCTGAAAAAAAACAAAACAAAACTGAAAGCACCAAATGAAATGGTTATTCCATCTGTTTTGTTGGTGGAAAATAGGTTGCATCGGTTGCTTTTCAAATTCGGAAGCCTTTGGCAGGGAAACCAAAACCGTCTTTGAAAGTAAGTGCTTCGAAGCTGTTAACGACATGAGTAAATTTGGTGGATTTACTGTAATTAAGAGAGCTGGGGGTTACGACGTACAAACCATATTTGATAATTGACGAACCTCTCTTCTTTCTCATAAATGCATGCGGCTCCAAAGCAAGCATCCTATAACGTCTCTCCATCAATAATATTCTGTAACAATACCATTAACCAACTCAACTATAATAGTATAGGGTACGTCTAGAATATGGGACACACACTTCAAAACAAAAAATAATATTTTTTTTGTTACATATATATATATATATATATATATGAAAAGATTAAAATAGTAATTTCATATTTGTTATTATGATACCTAAATTTTAGATTAATTCTCAAACAGAGTTAGTGTCACACTATCCTTGACCAGTAATGCTAAATTTAGTAATTTTTTTTTAAATAATACCGTGTGGGTATGAAAAATTATTGGTAAAAGTAGGAGTTCCATGTGAGAAAATGAAATTTAAAAAACAAAATTAAATTGAAAATCTTATTTATAAACAAAATAAAATTATATTTGTATCTTTTATTATATATTTATTTTGAGATAATGAGATTTTTTGATAATCTTAGTAACTGAGTTGATGTTAGTTAATTAGTGGCATCAAATTCGATAAATAATAATAATTATTATTTTTTTAAATAAAGGTTCTAATTCTACCTTTTTAACACAGAACCATGTATGAACTCAATAATTGACTTCATCAGTACAGATGAGCATCGGAAAAGGGTTGCGTCCAATTTTTGGATGAAAAAGGGGAAAAATGGAAGAAAAAAACATGATTCTATGTTAAAAAAGTAGAATGAGAGTTGGGCTTTGCTGGCCTTGTGAGTTCATGGGTCAAGGAGAGTTTATAGCTCTTCTAAGACCTTTACGAGGGTTTGGACTATCAAGTTGGGGCCTGCGGGTCGAGCATAATAAGCTCCAAAAATAGAAAGAGAGATGTTGGGTAGGCTCATTGGGATGATATAGCCCTGACTCAAACCTGATTTACGGATTTTCCTTTGTGGATCTTGGAAAATAGCAAAAGTATCTCTCATAAGTCTTACTGCTGAAGTACAGAGAGTGGAAATTTGGTGCAAGTATTTGTGTTAGATCAAAGACCGTTAATATTACTGTCAAATGAATCTATTAACTCCCTTGTCTTGACAATGACATATTAATAATGTGGTTTTAAAAATTATTAAGCATAATATATAAAAATAAATTTTAACTTATTTAAAAATTTTAAAATAAATATTTATATTTTTATTTTGAGTTAAAAAAGCCATTGTACTTTTTATTTTAAGTCAAATAAATTCTTATGACTAATGATAGATTTAATTAAAATATCGTTTGACATATAATAATCCTAGTGGAATAGTATTTCTTAACTCTATAGATACTTCAGGTGTTATAAAAGATGCATACAAGTTGTTTGAGTTTCTTGACTCACTTGTAGAGGAAATTGGAGAAGAGAATGTAATTCAAGTGGTGATTAATAGTGCATCAGCTTATGTTTATGTTAGACAATTATTAATGGAGAAGAAAAAAAATTTGTTTTGGTCTCCAGCTCACTGCATTGACTTAATCTTATATGATGTTAGTGATTTGCCCATTTTCAAGGAAATAATACAAAAGGCCAAACAAGTGTGTGTTTTCATTTATATAGACATATTTGGGTTCTTAACATGTTTAGGAAGTATTCCAAAAAGAAAGAACTAAAAGGAGTCGGAGTTACTAGGTTGCTACATCTTTTCTTACTTTGAAGAGTTTTAAGGATAACAAGATTCCATTTCAAGCCATGTTTGCTTCACAAGAATGGGTCAAGAGTCATTTTTCTTCTATGGGGAAGCTAAGAAAGTAAAGGTTGTTTTCTTAAGTGATGATAAATTTTAAAAATCAATTAAATATTGCTTAAAATGTGTAACTCCTCTTGTTAAAATCTTAAGACTTGTGGATGGGGACGCCAAACCTGGCATGGGCTTTATATTTGAAGCAATGGATAGAGCTAAACAATAAATTGCTCAAAATTTCAATCATCGAAAGACGTGATATGATCACACTTGAAAAATCATTAACATAAGATGAGATTTGCAACTTCATAGACCATTCCATGCAGTTGGTTATTTTCTTAATCCTAAGTAAGCAATATTGATTCCTTTCAACTCTTAAGTGAAAATTTTATATAATTCTTTTATATTGAATTATTGATTAATCCCATTAATTCTTTGTAGGTTTCACTATGAAGAAGGCTTTCATTCAGACATTGAAGTTAAAATTGATCTTCATAGGACAATTGAAAGAATGTATCCGGATATTGAATCAAGGATCAAAATTGATCAACAATTAAAGAGGTTCAAGAAAGCTGAAGGAGTGTTCGGCATGAGTATGGCCATTTTGACAAGAGACACAAAGCAACTTGGTATTGTTTTTGATCTTTTTCTAATCTTTCTTTTTTTTTTCCTAAGTTTTTACCTTAAATAATGCATGAATAATGAATTTAAAAGCAATCTATTTTCTTTAATCATAGCTTTGTGATGGGAAAGTTATGGAGAGGATTGCAAAGAGCTTCAAAAACTTGCTATACAAGTTTAAGTCTCACTTGTAGTGCCATGGGCTATGAAAGAAATTGGAGCACCTTTGATCATATGCATTTCAAGGAAAGGAATCGTTTGGAGCAACAAAGACTAAATGCTCTTGTTTTTGTCAAGTATAATATTCAACTTGAACTAAGACAATCCAAGAGAATAAAAAAAGGTGAAGCATATGATCTAATTTATCTTTCCAACATGGAATCGGATGATGAATGCATAACTAAAATGGAAGATCCTTGTTTACCCTAAGAAAATTCATGAATGGATATCCATGAACGCTTTGAGGATGAAGGGATTGACCATAGCAAAAAAAGAAAGCATGTTAGGTATTCTAAAATCCAAATTAATATGTATGCAACTTTAATTTTTATATTACATTTTAGATTGAAAGTGGTTAACTTTGTACTTTTATTCAATTTTAAATGTAGGTCCAAGTAACTTGCCATTTGATGCCAAGAGAAAAATAAAATTATTTTATAAAATGAAGATATTCAACCAATTGTTGAAGAGGAAAACAACTTGTAAGATGAAAAGGAAGATGAGATGGTTGTTCTAAGACAAGATGAAGGCAATCATGATGATAATAACATGGAGCTTGAGGATGAGGATGATGATCTAGATCTTAGTGATGAATGATAATAATTAATAGCATTCATGAGTCAAGTGTTATGGAGCCTTTTGATTACTAATATTTCTAACTTTTGATATTTTTTGAAACTAGAAAATAGAGATTAACTTGATGGTACAATTTTAAGTATATAGTTGTACTTGAAAAAAATCCTCATACACCATGTTTTTGTATATTGTTACAAATACAATACAAGATCTAAAAATGTCAAATTCTCATTGATTTTTTGTTAGTAAATTAACATGGAAAATGTATGTCTCATTTAAAAATATATATTATTGAGGAGTATGTTGAAAGTTTATAATCATATTTTCAATTTATCCCATATAATATTTGATCTTATAAATAAATATAACATTTTTATTTTTTATTTTTTATTTTTTATATGTATACATATTATTTATAATTAATTTTAAAATTACATACCGTATCTTATGATACTATACAATACTTGATACTCGATACTTAAAAATAGAATTTTGATACATATACATATCTTGATTTAACAATTATGCCTCCAATACATTTTTTTATTTAAGGTCCATTTGGTAATTGTAACATAAGTTGCTAAAGGAAAATATTTTCTGTGTAAAATATTTCATAGGAAAATTTTAATGTTTTCTGCTGTTTGGATAAACTATCGAAAATATTTTTCGTTGTTTGGATAATCTTTTAGAATATATTTTCCTCATCACTAAAATTATAAAAATTTTATAAATACCAATTCTCTAATATCTTTAGATGTTTGAAAATATGAATATTTATTAATTGCATATAACATCTAAAACTTAATTTTCAACATTAAAAATATGATATAATAATAAAATAACTAAAAATCTATGCATCAATTAAAATTAATAATCCTACAAAATAGAAAACATTCTACATTAATAATAAAACATATAATTAATTATCCTACATATTTATGCTGCATTTATAACTAAACACATCCCACAAATATCCAACAAACATCTTACAAATATTATCCAAAATAATAAAACTTACTAAAAATATAATTAATCATTCTACATAAACTTACTAGCAATATCATTGTACTAGCAACTATCAAAACTCAAATTAAAATTTTAAAATTCCAAAAAGGATGGCTTATGAAGATAATAGGGAAATGAATCCTAGTAGAACAACAATTGCATTTTTGGCTGCCAAAGTAGTAGACACAGTAGCTTCATTAGACAAGGCAGAACCTCCACCAGCTAAATCAGACAAGGATCTAAATGCAATAAGAGGCATCTTTTGTTGGTGACAGATCAGAGCAATTCCAGTGGTCTCCATGTCGATTTGTAATGGAATTGAACTTGGAGTTCAAGAATTCTCGATAAGCTCTATTGTCCACAAAGGCATTAAAGTTGATCCCTCTTTGACCCTCACCGTCATTGGATTTCTTGGTAAGCAAGTTGCATCAACGCATCCACCAAGCCTCAAACCCTGTTTCGAGAAATTGAAATTAGAATCGACTGAAAGAATGTTATATTTTAACCAAACATGAAGTCAAAGATAAAAATATGATAGATCCTTTGGGATGCATTTACTTTACCTGAACTCTTTCTGCAATGGCAAAGTAATGCTTATTGACTAGAACTTAACGGTGCATCTAGTTTAGTGCAAGTGAAGAAAATTCTTTATAATTTAATTGGGTGTAATTATTTTATAATGTTTAGTTTAGGGAAAGTGGTTGAGAAAGTAATTCTATTGTAATATCATTACAGTGAGAGAAGTTAATGTCAT